CTTCAACCACAGACCTCGGTAATTGGATGACAGTCCCCAGTACGATGTCATCTTCTTCAACCGATGACCTAAAATTATCAAGTGCATCGGCCTCACTATTTTGTTCTCGAGGCACATGATCTAGAGTCCACTCCTTGAAGCGGTGCAAAGTTACCTGTAGCTTATCCAAGTACCGTTGCATCCTATCCTCTCTAACTTCAAAACTTTTGTTTACTTGGTTTACCACCAACAGTGAATCGCACTTGGCTTCAATGACTTCTGCCCCCAGGCTTTTAGCTAACTCGAGACCTGCAATCATGGCCTCATACTCGGCCTCATTATTAGTCAACCTAGAAGTTTTGATAGATTGTCTAATAGTACTACCTGTAGGTGGCTTCAAAACAATGCCAAACCCGGACCCTTTTACATTCGAGGCAGCGTCCGTAAAAAGGGTCAATACCCCCGATAAAGTACACGATCTTAGTAGGAGTTCTTTCTCCAATACGGGTACGAGGGTCGGCGTAAAATCGGCCACGAAGTCAGCTAGGATTTGAGACTTAATGGTCGTTCGGGGTTGATACTCAATATCGTACCCGCCAAGTTCGACGGCCCATTTGGCCAACCGGCCCGATAGTTCGGGCTTATGCAAAACAATTCGAATGGGGTAAGTGGTTAGCACACATATGAGATGACACTGAAAATATGGCTTTAGATTTCTAGATGCGCTTATTAATGCAAGTGCTAATTTTTCTAAGTGAGGGTATCTAGTTTCAGCATCTCCTAGAGTTCGGCTTACATAATAAATAGGGAATTGCGTACCTTGCTCTTCTCGAACTAGTACCCCGCTTACCGCTATCTCGGACACTGCCAAATATAAGTAACATTTTTCCGATTCGATACCATGAAGCCGAGGAACTTACCCGAGCCGACTCCAAAGGCACATTTTTCCGGGTTAAGCTTCATGTTGTACTTCCTCAAGATTTTGAATGTTTCCTGCAAATGAGTCAAATGGTCCTCCGCGCGCTGGGACTTAACCAACATATCATCAATGTAAACTTCCATCGATTTACCTATCTGTTCCTCGAACATTTTATTAACTAGGCGTTGGTATGTAGCTCCTGCATTTTTTAGCCCGAAGGGCATTACGATGTAACAATAAGTTCCGAACTTAGTGATAAACAAGGTCTTTTCCTGGTCCCCCGGGTTCATCCCAGGTATTTTACCTCCCAAATAGACCCTATTTTAAGAAGTTTGGTTACCTCCTCCTTTATGAATGTATGCTTCACCTCGGCTTGGGGCCTCCTTTTTTGCTTCACTGGTTTGAACCTGGGGTCAACGCTTAGCCGGTGCGCTGTTATTTTCGGTGGGATCCCTGTCATGTCTAAATGGGACCAAGCAAAGCAATCCATATTATCGATAAGAAATTGAATGAGTTTTTTCCTGAGTTCGAGGGTTAACCCCGTTCCTAGGTATACCTTTTTCTCGGGCATGTATTCGATCAGTATGACTTGTTCCAGTTCCTCGACCGCGACTTGGTTGCGTCTGACTCTTTGGGAACTACGAAAGTTCGAGGAGTGAGGAAATCCTCTTCTTCTTCGATTACCTGTTCCTCCGGCTCAATCGGGGCTGGGATCGGTGATTGCTATTTGGTCGTCTGCTTGTCTTTGGTGCTTGACTTTTCCGAGGTCGAAGGCACTGACACCGGTATCACCTCACCTCTTCGACTGCAAACATCTCCTTTGCGGCGTGTTGTTCTCCGTAAACAGTTTTCACACCATCTTTCATTGGGAATTTCATCATCTGATGGAGGGTTGAAGGCACGACCCTCATGTTTTGGATCTATGGCCTCTCGAGGAGTGCATTATACCTCATGTCTCCTTCGATGACATGGAATTTTGTATCTTGGATGGTCCTGGCTACGTTCACTGGTTGGATAATCTCCCCCTTCGTTGTTTCGCTTGCCATGTTGAAGCCATTTAAGACCCGGGATACAGGTACAATTTGATTCTATAGGCCGAGTTGTTCTACGACCCTCGATCTAATTATGTTTGCTGAGCTACCTGGATCCACCAGAACACGTTTAACTTGAATTTTATTTAACAAAATAGAAATTACCAGGGCGTCATTGTGCGGCTAAGATATGCCTTCCGCTTTCTCGTCATAGAATGGTAGGACGTCCTCGGGCACATAGCTCCGAGTCTGTTTTTCTCTGGTGATCGACACCTTGGTGCATTTGAATACAGGTCCTTGTGGGACATCGACACCGCCAACGATCATATGGATTACATGTTGTGGTTCTTCCTGCTCATTTTTTCTGCTTGCCTCTCTCTCCCTAAAGTGGTTCTTAGCTCGATCACTGAGAAATTCTCGAAGGTGACCCTCGTTGAACAACCGAGCTACCTCCTCCCTTAGCTACCCAGTCTTCGGTTCTATGGCCATGCGTGCCATGATACTTACACATCAAGTTTGGATTCCTTTGAGAAGGATCGATTTGTATAGGCTTAGGCCACCTGGTGTCATTGATTCTTCCAATAGCTGGCACGATCCCCGATGCATCTACACTAAAATTATACTCTGACAATCGAGGTGCCCCCATGGGGTCGGTATGTTTATCGAACCCATTCTTACTCATGAGTCCCCGAGAGTTTTGGCCTCAATCATTTCTCCGATCATTCCGAGGAGCATTACGACCCGAGCCGTTATTTCTCCGATCGACATACGGCTGATATCGTTTCTTGTTTGATCTTGATTCCCTGTCTGTATCCCTCGGGGGCTTGGCTGCCAATCTATTAGGATGAACTGAACCCGAGAGGGCTCCCAACTGATCGTCCTTGACCCCGATCTTCGATTGATAATGATTATGCACGTCTAACCACGTCATAGCTGGATACTCGATCAGATTCTGCTTTAATTGTCGAGACGCGATCGAACTCCGCTCATTCAAACCCTGCATAAAAGCTTGTACTGCCCAGTCATCCGAGACCGGTGGTAATTCCATCGCTCCATCTGAAACCGGGACACGAACTCCCTTAACATCTCGTCGTTCCTCTGTTTTATCTTAAAAATGTCCGATTTCCTCGTCGCCACCTTTATGGCCCCGGCATGTGCTTTCACGAAGGCGTCCGCTAACATAGCAAACAAATCGATAGAGTTCGGGGGCAAGTTGTGGTACCAAATCATGGCTCCTTTCGACAAAGTTTCCCTAAATTTTTTCAACAATACTGATTCGATCTCATCATCATTTAGATCGTTTACTTTAATCCCGCAAGTATATGAGGTAATATGCTCATTAGGGTCGGTTGTCCCGTTATATTTGGGTATATCGGGCATGCAAAACTTTTTAGGAATGGGCATCGGAGCAGCGCTCTGAGGGAATGGTTTTTGTATGAACGTTTTGGCATCTAAACCTTTCAAGACCCGGAGTGCCCCCGGTATTCGATCAACACGGGAGTTATAGGTCTCCACCTTTTTGTCATTGTCCTCAATCTTCTTTTCCATGGACTCGATCCTCATGGTGAGCTCTTCGAGCATCCTCATAATTGTGGGGTCTGTCCCTGAGCCATTTTCGTTTGACCTCTTTGGCGCCGGTTCTGCACGTCGAGTGTTTTCTGGTTCGGCTATACTCAGAGTTTTATTCTGACTTTGAAGTTGAGCGATGGCAATCTGTTGAGCTTGTAGCATCTCGAAATATCACTCTGTCGTCGAGTTTGAGCCTGGTCTATCGAGCTCGATCTCGATTCATCTTGGACTCGGACTTAAAGCGACCCTTCGAGCCCGGGAAATCGGGCATACCTGACTTTAACCGTATACAATATATGTATTTATATGTGATGTAAACTAAGAATCCACCAAAATGTATAGAGAACTTAGATCTCTATTAGTTCCCACGGAACACACATACACAACAGTAAGTAAATAACACAATAGTATTTTACGTGGAAAACCCCCAGCTCATGGAATTAAAAACCACGACCTACAGTCGTAGGATTTCAACTTAACTAACCGAGTAAACTTTAGATTACAACCTATTTTAACCTAGGAATTAAACTCTTAATCCCTCACCTACTTGCAATAACTCTATTGCAAGTCTCTTTGTAATAACTCCACTACAGAGCTCACCACTTTGACTAACTCTAGTCAAACACAAACACGATGTTTATGGTTTACAAAGATATCCTATGAGATGCTTCTAACTAAGCTGAGTAGGAATCACAAGTGAATAACATTAACAAAGATATAACAATACTAAGGACACAAGATAAACTCAGTGCTGGGATCTGGTCCTATATTATGTTGCTACTTTGTTCTTCAAGCCTTGGAGTGAATGAAGGCAGCTGCACACTTGAGAGAGAATTAATGATTTAGGATTTGGAAGTGTGTAATCCCTTGCACTTATTTTTTAGGTTAGGGGAAACAGCTTGCTGGCTTCTCGTTAATGAGTAACTGTTTTAATCATCAACTAGTATTAAAAAAGAAGCACAAAGTTAGAATATGTGTATGGGTTGCAATATGATCATAATCGATAAACCAAATCCTCAAAATCAGAGCTTAAGGAATAAACAAATCAATGTCAAAAGGCCGACAAACCTGATTTATGAAAATGAATTAGTTGAAACAAGAAGCAAAACATGCCCCAAATTCTCGATACTAAATAAACTGACAAATCTCCATTAGCGAAGGTGTCTGTCCTGCGACGTTGTTTCTTTTGGTTCTAAATTTTAGCAACATAATCTCAAATTTTACCGATAAACCTTGGATACATCGTATTTATTTAAGCAACAATTCCACTCTTCGTCCCTTTGGGTGCATCCGATGAAAAAACAAACTCCACTCTTCCATAATCTCAAGTGCCTATTCATTTTATTTTAGATAACATCTTGATGACAATTTCTCTATTAGAAAATTATTGTATAAATTTCACACCATAGCATTTTGATTTTTAATTTAACTTTATAATGTAAAAAAAAAAAAAAAAATTAAATTATAAAATATTAGAGGGTTATCTTCCTCCAACCTTGAAATTATCTAATAATAATAGTCGTACAACCGGCGACTGTTACAAGTGTAATGTCTTATATCATGACGTTGCAGACTATCCCAACTACATGTTGACAAAGAGCAAAACAATGTCCCAACTATAAGTTAGAATCTTCCTCCACTTTGAAATTAGAGTAACAAGGAGAGGCAAAGTACTATATATAGCCTAAACAACCTTAGATCTTCCTCAAATCGGAGATGGGAGAAGAGTACTTTGTAGAAACAGAGAAGACGAAATTGCAAGAAAAAGAGGAGTTATCACAAATCCACTTTGTTTTAGTCCATGGAATTAGTGGAGGAGGCTGGTGTTGGTACAAAATCAAGTCTCTTATGGAGATTTCCGGCTATAAAGTGACATGTCTTGACCTTAAAGGTGCTGGAATTCATCCTGCTGATCCCACAACTGTTCTTTCCTTCGATGATTACAATGAGCCTCTCATAGATTTCTTGTCATCTTTGCCTGAAAATGAACAGGTCCGTTCTCCGCCCTTAAACAACCTCTTGCAGAAATGTAAAGCAGTATATATATAGTGATAGTTTACTGCACCAGAGTATTTACTTACATGCATATTTCTATAATTTGTGTTGCAATTCTAGTGACTGAAGGACATGATGATTTATCTGTACTGTGGTAAAAATAGGTAATTCTGGTAGGACACAGCGCTGGAGGACTGAGTGTCACGGATGCAACTCATAAATTCCCAAAGAAAGTAAGGCTGGCAGTGTATGTAGCAGCGACCATGTTAAGAACTGGATTTGTGACTGAACAAGACGTTAAAGATGTAAGCATATATAGCTTCTCGCCTTAATTGATCATAAATGGAACATGTGTCCGATATCATTAAACTCGTCTCAATATATCTATAAAATTAACTCTGACAGTGCAAAAAATTATTTTTGCATCAAGTCACCTGAAAAATTAACTCATAGGTGGGGTCATTTTCTGAGCTAGAAGACCCATATTGTCTTGAAGAGTGAATAATAAAGCAGAGAGTGAGAGCATAGGGAGTTGCAGTCAAAATATTTTTGTTGTATAAGATGCAGGCTATCGTACTAAAATTTATTGTCTATTTGTCTCTTTTCTCACACTCATATTTAGGCTTTAATTTGGGGTTGTGGCATTATTCTCTCTTCTTCTAGCTATAAGCGTTGGCCTTTCCTGCCTGCAAGAGCTCTTTGGTGATGTCCTATTATTGATGACGTTGTTCGCAACGATTGACTATACACATTGGTAAATAGCAACTCTGGTATCTTATAACTGACCCTGGCAGCCGGCAGGTTTTCTTCATATTTTAAAGCTATAAAATTCATTCAACTTTTTACCCCTATAAGTTGCTATGTTTGCCTCCTAATGTTAGGCAATCGTTCATATTTCAGAATACTATAATTGTCTAGGCCTTCTCAGTTGGACACTCGTTTCTTTAATTATAATTTATTTCAAACTAATTTATACAGCTTTTCAATATGTAAATTTCTTTTTAAACACTTTGAGGAATTAATGTTGAATCTACATCGAAAGTTACTTCATCTATCCCAATTTGTTTAACACTATTTTTTGGTCCATACCAAAATAATGATATATTTTTGTATTTATAAACTCCTAGTATTAGGTCCAACTACATATACGTTTGTACTCCCTCCGGTCCACAATAAGTGACCAATTTGCTTTTGATACACTCATTAAGGAATTACTAAATTCTAGACAAAAATAATTAGTGTGACTAAACTACCCTTCATTAAATGTTGCACCGTACTTATAGTAGTACTTACTTCTCTCCTCAAATGTGAGGAGTAAATGACTTTTTAGGAATACGTAGATAAGGGTAATTTTGGAAAAACAAATTGAATTTTTTCTTGATAAATATATAAATGGACACTTATTTTTGACCAAAATAAAAAAGCAAATTGGTCACTTATTGTGGACTGGAGGGAATATCAAAAGTCTTCTTTTATTTTTTAAATTCTTAGTTAACACCCCAATTGCTTTTAATTTTTGTTTTCTTTCTTTTTGAGATGGAAGTAGTTGTTGATATTTCCATATGTATAAAAGCCATAAATATTTGGACGCGCAGAAGATAAAGGCGATAAATCTTCAAATCCTTCTTAGTCTACCTTATGACGTTGAACGATTAATGTTGCTTTTATTTTTTCCTCTTGTTGTAGCAATTACGAAGGCCTAATTTTCACCTAACAAGTCATATATATGCATTGATTAACGCCTTAAAATCTTGTTATAAACAGGGCATCCCAGATTTATCAGAGTTTGGTGAACCAATTGATGTATATGATATGGGGTTTGGATTAGGACCCGAACAACCTCCAAGCAGTGCAGTCATTAAGAGAAGTTTACAACGCAAAATCATTTACCAGATGAGCCCACTAGAGGTATATATATATGTATATATGACTTTTCACATTAATATTTTATACTGTCATCTATCCATTGATTGTCCCGATTTTTTGGATTCAACAATTTTCGGACTAGTTTGGGATTAAGATGTAATTGTTGTTATTGTAGGATTCAACATTAGCAGCTATGTTATTGCGTCCTGGACCGATACAAGCATTAAAAAGTGCTCAATTTAAAGAAGGGGAAGGCGCAGAGGAAGTGCCTCGAATATACATTAGAACAGCGTATGATCGAGTTGTGAAGCCAGAGCAGCAAGATGCTATGATCAAAAAATGGCCTCCACAGAATGTGTACACTTTGGAAAGTGATCACAGTCCTTTCTTCTCTGCTCCATTCCTGCTATTTGGCTTGATTATTAAGGCTGCTTCTTCACTTGGGTGCAGTGATTGAGATAGTCTCATATCCAACATGTACATAGTATACTGTGGGATTTATTCTCTAGTCCCTAAGTATTGAATTGGACAACTGAAAGACAATAAATATTGCAGCATATGGCGACTCTGAAGTGTCAATGTGGTTATTACTGGGATATATACAATGATAAACATGTGTAGTTAAGTCATATTCCAAGAAAGTGCTCAAGTTAAATGTACTAGGAGTACTATATTTACTGCATTTTCACCTAACCACAAACATTAGTTACCAAACTGTATCAAATAATAGTGTAAAGGTGATTTCAGCTACTAAATTTGTCTTATAGCCTGTTTGGCCAAGCTTCTTTTTGGCCAAAAGTGCTTTTTTTTTTGGCCAAAAGCACTTTTGGCCAAAAATTGAGGTGTTTGGCCAAGCTTTTGGAAGGAAAAAAAGTGCTTTTGAGGAGAAGCAGAATCGGTTTTGGAGAAGCAGAAAAAAGTAGCTTCTCTCCAAAAGCACTGAGAAATTTTATTTTGGGTGAGACTCACCCAACAATAGTTGTATGAGGTTACTTTCTTCATTTGCCAAGTGTAGTTGTGGGGCCCATTTTCTGATATTGGTTTAATTTGAATAAACAAAGAAGAAAAAGTAATTTTGTTATCGATGTGGATCCCACTCCCACTCATATGGAGTATTCCATAAACATGTAGCTAAATAGATATTGTACCAGAGAAATGGAAGGAAAACGTGAAAGCCATTTCCCTCTTTAATTACCATAATTTGCTCACCACCAAACGTAATATTTATATTTTTGTATATATATGTCTTCTTCGTTTTCATTCTAAAAGTTTGTATCTTTTCAAAATCATCTTAAGTTACCAACGCTTTAAAAATGAGCCTTTAGAAGTTGTTCGTTGATATAAATATAAAATATAATATACATAATTTGTTAATAAAATTCTCCTCATTTGGTACAGAAATACAAAAATGTGGTCACTAGCATTGAGTACTTTTGCATATTGATTCATTTACTACCATGTTTAACATGTCATTATCAAAATATTGTTTACTATAAAATTAAAATAAGATTAATATAAATTTTTATCACTAAGAGGATATTTGAATTGACTTAAAAGCTTATCAATTCAACTTAAAGCACTTTATGGCTTATTTTAGTGTTTGATAAATTTAAAAAGTAATTTTGAGTCAAATGCTTTTAAGCTAAAATAACTTAAAACAAGCTAAAATTTATAATTTGGTCATTTCAACTTATTACTTTTTTGCTTAAAAGCATTTGAGATTTGCCCAAATAATTTAATTTTTTACCCTAATTAAAATATTTTCTCCATGTAAAACTCGTGAAGGCTAAAGCCAGCCATTTCTATTGATTATAGAGGGTCGAAATTAGTATACAAATTGCTTCTCTATTTGTTTATTGTTTCCTTTTGGGTTTTCTTAATAAATTTTAGTTTTTAGTTTTCGCAATTCGAATTTTCATGCATATTTCCTTAAGGCCATGTGCCTGAATAAATTATTCTAAGATTGTGCCGTTCTTTAATGAAATTCAGTTTACATAAAAATAATATTTTGGGTAAACTAGCATAATTACAATTCAAAGAGATAATTTTAACCGAGCTAGTATATGTGTTGTTACCAAAATATATTTCGCAACTTGAAGTTGAAGGCGTGGTAAGAACTTGGATGTATACTTGGAAATCAACAATTATTTTCTTAATTATATCAAATTTTTGCTCTAGTTAAGCATTTTAGTTACAAAGTAAAGTCAAATAATTATTACTGTAGCTTATTTGAATAACTAAGTAATTCAGAATGGTTTTTAGATTAATACCCATGACTCCATGAGGAATAGTGTTTAAGGATTTTTTTGTTTTGGGAGTTGTTTCAAGTGGAAAAAACGAAAGGCTCAAACTCTTCAATTCAATTCAAATGGAGACCGTGGCTTTTACCTAGGAGTACATAGTACAATTTACTTATATTTTTATTTATATCTAATCCTTTAGTTGTGGCCCACATTTCATTAATTCACCTTTTTTCTTTATCTATTAGTCTATGTCACTAAATGGGCCCACAATTACACTTGTCAAATGTAGAAGGTAGCCTCATACAACTAATAGTTGGGTGAGTCTCACCCAAAATAAAATTTCTCAAAAGCACTTTTTTGAGAAGCACTTTTGAGAAAAATACACTTAGAAGCAGTTTTTTAAACCTTGTCAAACACTAATTGCTGCTCAGAAGTGCTTTTCAAACTAATTAGCCAAACACAAACTGCTTCTCACCAAAAGTACTTTTGAGAAAAGCACTTTTGAAAAAAAGCACTTCTCAAAATAAGCTGATTTTTGCAGCTTGGCCAATTGGGCTATTAGACTATATTCCTAATGATATAACTTATATATATGGTCAGTGTTAAAAATTGACAATATCAGGTCATTTTAAAGACAAAATATAGCAAGCATGGATTCTGTTATCTACACACATAGTAAATGACCTATTTTATCCGGTAACGGTAAAACTACAATAATGCTGTAGGAGATGCTTATTATATTAACCCTTTATACATCCAAAGCCCATTAGCTCAGTTGGTTAGAGGTCGTGCTAATAACACGAAGGTCGAAGGTTTAAGACTTGCATGGGCCATTATTTAGTTCCCCCTCCTCCTCGACGAACAACATAACTAGCCACAAATAGACACTGGTCATGAGCTCTACAACGGAATATAAATCTAAAATTGAACAATAACACTGTCTGAACTATAACAACAATATGTAAAGAAAAGACAAGTCAAAATTGCGACCAAAGATGCAGTTCTACCTCGCCTCTCGAAGATAGTCCAACAAGCAAGCCTACTGCTGATAACTGGTCCCCATACCTAGATCTGCACAATTAAGTGCAGAGTGTAGTATGAGTATAACCGACCCAATGTACTCAATAAGTATCGTGACTAACCTCGGCAAGGTAAAAGAAGCACGGGTTATAAATGATACTAGCTATAAACTGTACAGTTTCATCATTTTAACAAATATAGAACAATAATGAAATCAAGTCATAAAGCACAGGAAGAAGCATCTGTGTGTTAGGTGTTTGTCCAGATTTTCTTACCATAATTGGTTTTCCTATCTCATGAATGAAAGGACAACATATTTACCATAATTTGGTTTTCCTTTTCCTAGAAGGAAAATATAATTCTTCCATATTTGGCTAGTCCCTTTTTCTTGTAGGAAAAGGTTTGGCTTCTACAAATTGAGGATCCTTCCTTCTTATTCAGTAGCATCCACAATGTAGCCATAGGGGGCTTGAGAGTCTTGTTTAGGGGAAGAACTTTACGGGACAAGTGTTAGTGTGTCACTTGTGTTTGCCTCTTCATGAGGTTGTTCTCTCGATATTTTGTACGCTCTTTTTATTATAGTGGATTGCTCATCTCCGTCGTGGACGTAGGTCAGTTGACCGAACCACGTTAAATATTTGTGTCTCTTTTGGTAGATTTCTCTTTTGTTGTCTGATTTATCGTCGTTGAAGGTTTGCTTTACTAGATTCCGCTGACACTTGACTTTTTTCGGTCCTAACACTGTGTGTGTATGTGTACAGTTACTCAATACTCTATTCAGTCAATGTTCAGCATATAGAGATGATATGCAGCTAACTCAGGTAATTAACCACGAAAATTGCAAGTAAAGATGAAATGCAAAATCCAAACAAACACCGGCCAGATTTCTTCAACCTTTCCATATCCGTACCAAACCACTGACCAATTTTCCTCAATATCCGCCTGTACATAATCAAGAGAGAAACATCAGAGGGTGACCCTAGGGGGATGGATCCATATCCACACGTAAGCACGGCTAATTCAACTTGCTACCAGACCGGGGTGGTCACATGCTCAATATCATAATTCGCCCGGCGTGATCATATGCATAACAGATTAATTCGCTTGGCGTGGTCACACACATAACAACATAATCCGCACGGCGTGATCACAGGCATAACAACATAATCCGACTGACGTGGTCACATGCTCCGGCCGGCCTGGTAAAATGCATAACAACACAATCCGCTCGACGTGGTCACATGCATCTAGTCTAAATCATATCACGTAGAAGAAAATATACACATGTATATGATGAATGAATAACAAATCTCATGCTCCTGGACTGGTATAAGTGACATGCTAAAGTGTAGGCATGTGCATAGTGTGCTATCATAGCTCAAACTGGCTATTTCATCACATAGATAACAATTATCAAGTTCATTCATGGATTAAGCCTCTATGTAACCTCAAACATGGCTCAAATAGTTCACAACAATATTACAAATATGAGAAACATCATGGCTTAAAGCTTAACGATCAATTCTAGGCATATCATAGTCTAAGCACAACCCAAGCATGGATAAATACCCCGGTGTTAGCACATGGGCTCAAACCCTACACATGTATGCACCCATAGCACGTAGATATCACAAATAATTCAGGCAACTAGTGCCTCAACTAAGTTTAGATAAGATACTTACCTCAAGCAAACTAAATCACTCCGCTAACAAGCCCTTCCCGCATGTATCAGCCTCCGAAAGGCTCGAATCTAGCCAAAATAACATAATACTATCAATAAAAGCTATAGGAAGTGATCCCAAAAAATAAAGCTAAGATCTTTAACTCAAGTCAAAAAGTCAACCCCGGGCTCGCACCTTGGAATCCGACAAAATTTATAAATCCTGAACACTCATTCATTACGAGTCTAACCATACCAAAATCATTCAATTCCAACCACAAATCTCCCCACAAATCCTCAAATTTCACTTTCCAATAACATAGTCCAAAAATAATCAAATTCTAACTTAGAGCAACCAACAGCGAAAACTAGCTACCACATTGCTCACTGAGCCATTAATCTCATGTCTAGGGATACTTACGGATAGTTGAGTCCAAAATCACATGCTCACATAACTAAGTCCCCAATCCAAAGTTGCGGTCTAAATATGGCCACAAGTCTTTTAGGCTGTCCTACCCTCACATCATAAGAAAGTATCTCATACCATATCTGTAGCATCGTCAGAAGCCACCGGTGCCCAACTGATATTGGGTTTTCAACATCCCTTATGAATAAATAGAAAGAAACTGAAGATTTAAACTTCAAGATGAAACAAAATCACACCATAAGGAAAGAAATAAAGAGAAGTTTTTAGATGTCCTGTAGCCTCTCGAAGATAAGTATGGACGTCATCATA